TTCCTCTGATTCCCCCCCACCCCGCCTCACTACACATACACACAAAATAAATTTTTAAAAATTAAGAAATTATTTAAAAAGTACAATGACAAGTCTTGGGGCTGGAGAGATGGCTCAGCGGTTAAGAACACTGGCTGCTCTTGCAGAGGACCCAGGTTCGAATCCCAGCACCCACATGGCGGCTAACAACTGTCTGTAAATCCATTTCCAGGGAGTGCTGAGGCCCTCTTGTGACCTCCACGGGCATTGCATGATACAGGTACACTTACACACACATGCAAGTAAAACACTCATACACATAAAAATAAAATAAAAATTATCAAAAAGGAGCTGGAGAGATGGCTCAGTGGTTAAGAACACTAACTGTTCTTGCAGAGGACCCTGGTTCGATCCCCAGCACCCACATGACAGCTAACAACTGTCTGTAACTCCAGTTCCAGGAGATCCCACAGCTTCTTCTGTCCTCTGCCGGCATTGCACAACATGAGTGCACTTACATACATGCAGGCATACATGCAGGCATAATACTCATACACATAAAATAAAAATAATAAAATATTTTTTTTAAAGATTTTATTTTTAAAAAATTATTTAAAAGTACAATGACAAATCTACCTCTGACCCCTAGTTGCTTGGTTTTCTTTCTTCAAGCTAGGAACTCACTATGTAGACCAGGCTGGCCTAGAACTCACAGAAATCCACCAGTCTCTGCCTCCCAATTGCTAGGATTAAAAGCATGCACCACCACACCTGGCTACTTCAAGCTAATTTTTTTTTCAGTCATCTTATTCTTTTTTTCAAAGGATATTTTTATTATTCCAAAGAGAGGCAATTAGTAACATATTTTTCCGAAATAACTTGAAGCAGGGTACATAAAAATATATATACAATGAAGTTTAAGTGTGGAAAAGTAGGGATAAGAAATCAAAGATCAAAACCAGGTGTGGTAACACACATCTTCAATCCCAGCACTTGGGAGGCAGAGCCAAGCAGATCTCCATGAGCTCAAGGCCAGCCTGGCCCACGCGGCCAGCTCCAGACCAGCTAGGGCTACAGGGAGCCTTGGTCTCAAAAAGACCAAAGTATTTTCCAATATGGGGTCAAACTTTGGTGGAATAATGAAGGTTACTATTAGCTCTGTTCTTTTTTTTAAAATCTTAACTAATTTATTGGATTTGCTAACAGAGCATAGGCTGGGGGTTTATTTACAAGAGTGTCCCCCCATTTACAGCTGTGCTGGAAAGTCCACACTCTAATACAGATCCTGTGACTTCCTGACAGCTGTACAAAATGTCGAGAGAGATACCTCATGGTGTTCTCAGCTTATATATCCTTAGCCCCTCCCCCACATGCAGCTAAGATCAGTTGATTGGGTTGGAGGGGTAACTGACTCCCCCTTGACTCCTTGATGAGCATGGGAAGGAGGTGTGACTATAGTTTGCCTGTGTAGTGGTCGGAGGACACTTCCAGGTAACACTTCAGCCCTTCCTCTAGCTCTTACATTCTTTCCTCCAACCTCTTCTGCAAAAGTGCCTGAGCCTTGGAGGGGGTGGTAGGTGTGGGATGATCTTCCTCCCATTGTGGCAAGGCACTGAACTTTCGGGTCTCTGCATCATCTGTTTTTCTTGGGCTATTGGCCCATTTCAGTGAGATTCCATCTACTATAAAAACACAAACAGCAAGAAGCAAGAACATCTAAACAGTGGCTGCTATAATAACCAAGTGCTTGGACAGTACTTTAGTAGGTGCATCACATTCATCTAACAAAACAATTGCAGTGGCTTCCCCACTGGGGCCTATATTCTCCCCTGCCACAGGGGGTTGGCCTGTACCAGTACCAGATGTGTGTTCCACCCCTAGTAGTGGGCATTGTATCCAATTGAAAATTTGGCTGTTTGTATGTATACTAGATGCTCCACTATTGCACCAGCAGGACCATCCTGTTTGGCATGTTGATAGTGCAACGCGTGGGTCTGTCATTGAGCAGAATTGTAGGGGATGATTCTCCCCCAGCCATTTGCATATCGCCTTCTGGCACCATGAAAGCCACCCATCCAGTGGCAGGGAGTTTCCAGCTTAGTCCAAGCTCTTCAAGCTAATTTAAAAAAAAATTTAAATTACATTTATGTATTGGGAGGTGGGGTGGTCGAGTGTCATAGTACACCTGTGGAGGTCAGAGGAACAATTTCAGGAGTTGGTTCTCTCCTTTCACCGTATGGGTCCCAGAGATCAAACTTAGGTACTTAGGCTTGGTTGCAAGCATGTTTATCTGCTAAACCATCTCACTGGCCTTAATTATTATTTTAAACATTTTTAAAAATTTATGTGTGTAAGTGTTTTGCCTACATGTAAGTGCATCATGCATGTGCAGTGCATGTGGAGGCCAGAAGAAGGTATCAGATCCCCTGGTACTGGAGTTATGGATGGTTGTTAGCTGCCATGTGGATGCTGAGAACCAAACAGGGTCCTCTGAAAGAACAGTAAGTGCTCTTAGCCACTGAGCCATCTCTCCAGCCCCCTAATAATTATTTTTAACACTGTACTTCTAGGGTATTTTAGACTGGTTCAAGGAAATGGACATAGTTATTTTTCCCTTTTTAATGGGTGACAGCATGGCATACACAGTTTTTTAAAAAAGATTTTTTTTTAATGTGTGTGAATGTTTGCCTGCATGTATATATGTGCACCATATGCATGCCTGCTGCCTGTGGATGCCAGACGAGGGTGTTGGAACCCTTGAAACTAGTTACAGGCAATTTTGAGATGCCATGTGGGTGCTGAGAACTGAACCCAGGTCCTCTGCATGAGCAGCAAGTGCTTTTGGTCACTGAGCCATCTCTCCAGCCCCATATACACTGTTTTATACCTTGATTTCTTTGATTAACAATATAGCTAAGAAATTTTTCTGTAGTGGTACTTAATCATTTTCTTGTCTTTTATGGCTAGGTAATACAGTATTTTACTGGTTATTACAGCCTGGTTTATTTAACCAACTTCCTATTTGCTGTTATTCTAATCTTCTGCTATTCTAGTCACATATAGGTCACATGTGTAATATCCATGACATGAATTCATGGAAGTAGAATTGCTAGATTAAAAGGTAGGGGAAGTAGAGTATTGACAGATCATTCCAAATTGCTCTGCATATAGACTGCAGCAATTCACTCCCTTAGCCCAGCGTATGAGACTGTGTACATATTCTTGCCCACACAGTATACGTCAAAGCTCTATGAGTTTGACCTCCAATTTGGTAGTTTTATCTCTGTTGTTTTAATTTTAAATCTCTTATGAGAGATGGCTCAGCAATTAAGAGCACTTACTACTCTTCCAGAGGACTCAGGTTCAGTTCCTAGCACCTACATGGTGACTGACAAGTATCTGTAACTCCAGTTCCAGAGAATCCCATGTCCTCTTTCTGGCCTCTATAGGCATTGCATGTATGTGATGCACTTACATACATGCAGGCAAAAATACTCATACACATAAATAAATCCAAAAAATTTAATTTTCTTTTGAGTGTATTGTATATGGTATATGCACATGTGCATGTGGGTACATGTATGGAGGCCACAGGTTGACATTGGGTGTCTTTCCTCCCATCACCATGTTTATTTTATTATTTATTTAGTTTTGTTTTTGAGATAGGGTCTCACTGTGTAGCTCTGACTGGCCTGGAACTTACTGTGTAGACCAGACTGGGCTCAAACTCAGAGATCAGTCTACCTCTGCTTCCCAGGTTATGGGATTATCTATCTTCCATCTTTACTTTTTGAAACAGGGTCTCTTACTGAACCTGAAGCTCATAAATTGTACTAGAGTGCTGGCCAATGAGCTTCAGGGATTCGCCGGTCTGTGTCCTGCTTTAAGCCTGGGGTTACAGTTATGCCCAGCCATACCTGACTTTTTATGTGGGTTCTGGTAATCTGAATTTGGGTTCTTGTGTTTGCATTGCATGCACTTTACTGACTGAACCATCTCTCCAGCCCTTCTTTCATAAATTTAAGAGCCCTTTGTATTTCTTTCCTATGAGTTTTTACTATATTCTTCATATTGATTCGTAGGAACTCGTTAGGATTTTAGCATTTTCCCCTCAAAGGGAGAATTGTTAATTTGAAATATTTTTTTTGTCTTTTTGAGACAGGGTCTCCCTGTAGCCCCAGCTGTCCTGGAACTCACTATGTAGACCAGGCTGGCCTTGAACTCACAGAGATCCACCTGCCTCTGCCTCCCAATAATACCAAGTTTGGAAAAAGGTTATAAGCATAGTACTACAGAAAATTTGTCTAGTAGCAGTTGAAAATAAATTGCTAAGTTGGTAATATTTCACTATACATACTTATGTATGTAATTCCACTCATAAACATTCCACAAAGCCTTCTATATATTCACAACACAATCTTCAGAATCAGGAGATTCATGAGTACACCAGTGCAGAATCTCAACTGCTTTGGCATAAAGGAGGAGAGCACAAACTCCAGAGCTAGAGTGTGCCTGGATTCAGATCCAAGCTCTTACTAGAGGAGGATCTTTGGATAAGTCTCTCAATCTCTCTCTCTGTCCTGCTTTCTCAAACTCTTAGAAGGGATTTAATAATCATGCCTACCTGGTAAGTTGTGAGAATTAGATGGTTAATGCTTAGAATAGTGTTGGCACAATGTGAAAACTGTCAGTATAGTTGTTACAATGTCATTACCAGAAAAAGGAATTATTGTCCTCTTTATTTTATTTTATTATTATTTTTTTTTTGAGACAGGGTCTCCCTGTAGCTCCAGCTGTCCTGGAACTCACTATGGCTGGCCTTGAACTCACAGAGATCTGCCTGCCTCTGCCTCCCAAGTGCTGGGACTACAGGCGTGTGCCACCACGCCCGGCTTGAAAAAGGAATTACTGATTGTGGTATTTCATGGTGGCTATGGGTGAGGTTATCAGAGATTATAGACTACATGTATGCTACAGATTGCTCAGGTAACCCAAGATATACTTTGTTCTTCTCTTTGTAGATTTCAGAATGACTTCAATCTTGACTTCCACTTTTAAAAACCTTTCTACTACATCAAAATGGGCCCTCAGATTTTGTAAGTTTAATCTTTTTTAAAGATTAGATTTGATTTTTAAGCATTTTACGTAGACATTAAATGCTAGTGCTTTTTGTAAACAGTTTATTTTGTCTTCCAGCTATAAGACCTCTGAGCTGTTCTTCCCAACTACAAGCTGCCCCAGGTACAGTAATTTTAAAATAAATATTTTCCCATTAAATGTTAGAATTCTAGCCAGGCCTTTAATCCCAGCACTTGGGAGGCAGAGGCAGGTGGATCTCTGAGTTCAAGGCCAACCTGGTCTACATAGTGAGTTCCAGGCCAGCTGGGGCTACAGGGAGATCCTGTCTCAAAAAGACCATAAAAATAAAGATAAGTGTTAGAATTCTTTATTTTTAAATTCTGAATAAAAACCAAACTAATTTGCTAGTTCTTCCCCTTTTATGAGAACATGAGTCTCATTACCGCCTTCAAATAAAAAATATGTGTAGTCAATAATATTATACTGGGCTTATGTTGACAAGAGGCTCCTTCCTGGGCTTTAGAGCTTAATGAAGTCATGAAGTTCCCATAAACCTCACTAGTCAGTTTATGTGTCCTCTGCTGTGTGTCCTGGAAAAAACCAGCTTACAAACTGTTTGGAGACTATTGTAGAATCAAAAGCTAACTTTTGCAATTTGTAATTTGTAATAAGATATTGTTGAATATTTTATTTCATATGCAAGAGGACCTATTTTTGAAATAGAGGTGATGGGGAACTAGTCAATAAAGGAAGATTGCTTAGCCACACGAATTGAAAGAGTAGAGAAATTAATTGATTTAATGTGGTTATGTAGATCCTCAGTAAACCTAATGAATTAGGTCCCTTCACTGTTGAAAATATACTTTTATGTATGTGTCTTCACTGGTTGGTGCTAAAAATACCCTGATAAATCTCAGCATTTATTTCCTTGCTTAGGCTTTATATTAACCTATGTCTCTGATTTCGGATTTATTATGGTATCTCTACTTGTTTAATAACTTCCTAGAAAAAGTACCACCTAAGATCTAGAAGACATGTACTGTTTCAGCTCTGCATCTTTCAGGGCAGTGTGGCCTTGAAATGGTGGCTTTCTCTGTGTTTTAGTTCCTTCTCTAAAAAAAGAAATATATTAATTGCCAACTTTATAAAGTTCTTTAAGCACTGGGAATATAGCTTAGTTATAGAGCTCCTGCCTAGCATATATAAGGCCCTGAGTTCAATTCCCATCCAATACTGGGGGGAAAATGTCAAAATTGCAACAAATTTGAGGCTAGGGATATAGCCCAGTAGTAGAGCACTCACCTAGCACCCTACATTCAGTCCACCACTACCACAGCAACAAAAACAAAAAAGTTCTTTGAAAACTAAAATCGATTAAGTTCATGATCACATTGTTATATTGTTTTCCTATAGTACATTCTTAGAGATCTGTTGCCTTATCCCAACTAGAGAAGTTTTGTGATGTCATGAAAGAAATATTTCTTATAGCCTGTAAATTCTAACCAGAATATAGATTTCTATTGCCTCCACAAAGAATGCTAAACAATAATTCTGCCTTATGTCACCTTTCCCCTAGTTCGCATGTTCAGTCAGAATTCTGCTTTGCATAGTCACACAAATAGACCTGATCCTTGCCAAGTGGCAGAAGGTCATTTTGAATGCTAACAGGGAAGGCATTTCACAGGCATTTAGACTATCTTTTATGTTCTCCTGTAACCATCTTTTGTTTTTTTCTCTCTCCAACTATGTTGTAAATTCTGAAAGTCATTAGACTTAAGCTTTTTTTTGTGTCCCCAATGTCCAACAGTGCCTTGTAAATGGTTTGTGTTAATGTTGATGATAATGTTACAAGGAGGCATCCTATAAGCTAAGGAATGTGACCAGCTGATTTCAGGGCAGGGAAGGGGCCCTATGCCAAGTAGATTTTAAGTTGTAATATTATGACTACGTAATTCCTCTTGAAACTCGTGTGAGTATCACTACCTGATAGGCCTGTTATGAAGGAATTTGAATGAAGTACAGGATTGATAGATGTTTTCAATCATCTTGTAAACTCTGTTGGGAAGTGTTGACTGATTTGATGATTATATTTCTTTATCTCCCTCCGTATACCTCTCCTTGTTTCTCATGCATGAATAGCATTTGTGTAATACATGGCACATCATTTAATCTACTTTTATTTTAATTGCATATGAAGTATAGATTGAATATCAGTTAACAGTCGAATCCTGATTTTGAAGTCATCTAGTCTAGTCTGCACATTTGCAAAAAAAAATTTTTGTTTGCAAAGCTGGGTGTGGTGGCCCATACCTTTAATCCCAGCACTCAGCGGCACTTGGGAGGCAGAGGCAGGTAGATCTCCATGAGTTTGAGGCCAGCCTGGTTTACCTTGGGAACTCTAGGCCAGCTGGGGCTACAGAGAGACCCTGTCTCAAAAAAACTAAAAAAAAAAAAAAGAAGAAGAAAAAATTTGCAGAGCAGGGATGCCAATCCTAATATTGTAATTCCTAGTTGAGATTCTTAGGATTCTTTGCTACTGTGTGTCCATAACACTGTAGAATATTTGCAAAGAAGCTGTATTATTTGTGCTTGAAAATTTTTTGATATGGCTAGGAGCCGATGTACACATGAGAGTTCTTTGGGTGAATGTTCAATACATAATACATATGAGTAACATACTATTTAAAAATATGGTTTAGAGGCTGGATGTGGTGGCGCACGCCTTTAATCCCAGCACTCACGAGGCAGAGACAGACGGATCTCTGTGAGTTGGAGGCCAGCCTGGCGTACAGAGCGAGTTCCAGGTAGCTGGAGCTACAGGGAGACCCTGTCTCAAAAAGACCAAA